GAGCCGGCCAGTAGTGGTGGCCCCTATGCGGCCCCCACACCACTCCGCGGCCGCACATCACCGCCTCCTCTGGAACACAGCGGCACCGCGTTTAGTGGCTCTGGCCCCACACTGGCTCTGGCTCATCACTGGCACTACATCAGGCAAGTTAGCAATGGCATTGTGACATCGACTTTACCTGAAGTGGACGCACTATGGGGCTCCTCAGGAATGGTACGCTTATTCTTGTCCGGGGAGTGTGGTGGAAGTGGATGGGGTGGGTCCGTAGGGGGGGTGGCATCTTCATCATGGCGCGTCGTGGTCACCTCTGCACTCTGATGAGAAGGGGATGCTGGTGCTGCAACTCCAACACAATCTGAACTGCTCACATCACTCTCTCCCAATCCACCAGGTGTTTGCGTTGACACTGAGGACCGTGTGCCTGTATCAGTATTCCCCTGCGTTGCTACCAGAGTTGTGCGCTGTTGCACTATTGTGGTCTTGTGCTGAACTACTGTTGTGTTACTACTACATCCCCCCCCACCCATGACAACTGGCTGACCTCCAACGTATTCTGATGTAACAACTACTGGTGGGGCAGCACCCTGGCCTACACACACTGCCTGGCCAGGACTAACACTAGTTCCTGGAGCTGGATATGTGGCAGCAGCTGCTGTCACAGGTAAAACATGAACTCCTGTGCTACCTGTTAATTGTGATGTTGCTGGTGAAGGAGAGATGTTTACTACCTTTGGGCCACTGACTACTGCTGTTGTGTGGGGGACTGGAGGTCGTACAGCCACCATCGCTGGCATTCCACCAGCAGTTGCTCCGGGAGTGAGAGGGCCAACCATACCGCTTGAGCCACTGACTGCTGGGGTCACACCAACAATATGGCCCCCAGAGAGCTGTAGCTGAACAGGATATGACATGCCAGTGTTTGGGTCTGTTGATATGAATGTTCCATCAGCAAGCTGGTTTATCACTACTCCCTGAGGAGGTGCTGAACCTACAAGAATGGCTGCTGGGTTGTGAACTTGCACAGGTAAATTTGGTAAGGTATTACCAACCATTTGAACAACATTGATAGCACCAGTTCCCTGTGCTGCAGCTGCTTGCAGCATTTGTCCACCTCCCACTTGACTGGCAACTGTGGCAACTTGAGCCATTTGACCAGCTGCTGCCACAGTGCCCATTGTACCATAAGGTGCCACCTGAGTCATATGGGGGCCATTCATTACCATGTGTTGAGGAACTTTGTTTCCCATGATAATAGCTGGTACCAATCCTTGCTGCTGATGCTGTTGTGGTGAAGACTGAGTGGCAGCAGTTCCTTGTGGTGTAGATGAATTTCGTCTTCTCTTCCGTCTGCGTCCTCCAGAGGAGCCAGCACTGGAGGGGGTGTCTGACCCTGGCGTGGACCCTGGGGTTGAATGTGGGGTTGAGGGAGTGGACACTGAAGTAGCATGTGGAGTGGAGGCATTACTAGCTCTTGTGTCATCTACTGTTTCAGCTGTCAGCCCAGTAGTGACAACTTGTGCCACCTGTAAATGTGGTGAAGACTGTGGCTGCCCAACTTGGCCTTGCTGCTGTTGAGGATGATGATGAGTACCTTCCACAGCCAAAGTGGCTGCAGTAACAGGAACTAAGGACTGTCCAGCCATGATAGTACCTTGTGTTAGTGGTGTGGGACCAGCAATCATACCACCTGGGCTGTGTAAAATACTAGGGGATGACTGGATAATATTACCACCATTCTGTATAATAACTGGAGCCTGCATTGTGGCAAAGGTGTTGACTAGTTGCACCACTGGTTGTACAGGCTGAAATTGTTGTATTTGTGGTTGTAACTGGGGTTGCAATTGGGGTTGTAGCTGTGGTTGAAGTTGTGGCTGTAGCTGGGGTTGAAGCTGCGGTTGTAGCTGTTGCTGAATCTGTGGCTGTAAATGTTGTTGCATAGAAGCCATATGCTGCTGAACCTGTACTTGAGACATTGCAGCTGGTACTCCAACAACACCTGCTACTGCAGATGTTACAGCCACACCAGGGGTTGCATTGTTCTTATTGTTAAACTGAGAGGAAACGACAACCATACTGGTTGGGCCATTACATCCATTACCACTGCTAACAAAGGCACCTGACTGGGCAGATGGTGGTCCTCCTACTAGAACAGGACCTGGACCACGGACTAGCCCAGCTGAATTACCTCCACCATACACCGTTACATTTGTGGAAATAGGCACATTATACATTCCTGCTGACATAGATACTGGAAGTGCTGCTTGTTGCTGTGGAGGTGGTTGTGGTAACTGCTGTGGTTGGGGAGGTGGAGGAGGGGGTGGCTGAGGAGGAGGCGGCTGCTGCGGTTGGGAGCTTGGTCGAATGGGCCCTAGCGAGGATGGCACAGGAATGCTACTAACAATACTTTGCACCATCTCTAGTGGAGACTGAGTAACTCCTCCAGCCCTACTGACGCCTGGAGGGCCAGGTGTTAGGGGTTTATTAGCTGCAATACCTTCGC